TTCGTACAACAGGGATTTAACTTACACAAAAATGGAAAAAAAATCTATCTTGATCCATATACATCATGAGAATCCAAGTTTTCGAAGATCCACCAACGAAATGGGTCCTCATCGTTGAACATCCACCAACGAAATGGGTTCTCATCGTTGAACATCCACCAACGAAATGGGTCCTCATCGTTGAACATCCACCAACGTAACGGGTCCTCATGGTCGAACATCCACCAACGAACGGGTCCTCAATTTATTCCCTGAAGGGAAAAAAAGACTTCCTTTGAGACAACATTTCCATCAAATCTTCACGTCAGGAGTGAGGGGGTGGGGGTGGATATTTTATGGGTTATGGAAGGATAGTGTGATAACCCTACATGAACTTTCCATTGAATTCACGTTGTAGTTCATGTAGTGGTTGGTTATGATATATAAGTAAGACAAACTCTTATTCAATATCACGTACTAATATGTTTCCCAGCATCAAGATATATGTTTCATATTCATATAGGAGCTGAGGTATCGTGGTTCGCTTCTCGTTACCACTTACAAAAAAAACACGCTCCGTACTTAGGGGTCGTGGGTGAGTAGTGACGGTCAAATATCTCTATTTGGTCTGACAACAGTAGCCCAAGAGTTGGCGGTGGGCGATGTCAACAAGCTGCCTTCTCTTCAAAATTATGGACAACAAGCAGAAATAGTCCCTATGTAGCTTTACGTGAAATCCAACAAATCAATAATCGTATCCACATCTATATTACCATTTAATACATCTAAGTAGTGTTGTAAATAGTGTGTTATTATAAATAACAATGAGTATGATCATGTCTATAAATAAATCAATATATCTAATGCTATAAATTGTACACAGGCGATCAAAATCAGCACTATAGAACAAAAAACGACATACTTAAATATACTTGCAACTGTCACCGACTTCTGGACTTACTTATACTTGTAACTGTCACCAACTTCTGGACTTACTTATACTTGTAACTGTCACCGTCTTCTGGACTTACTTATACTTGTAACTGTCACCAACTTCTGGGCTTGCTTATACTTGTAACTGTCACCAACTTCTGGACTTATTTATACTTGTAACTGTCACCGACTTCTGGATTTACGTATACTTGCAACTGTCACCAACTTCTGGACTTACTTATACTTGTAACTGTCACCGTCTTCTGGACTTACTTATACTTGTAACTATCACCAACTTCTGGACTTACTTATACTTCTAACTGTCACCGTCTTCTGGACTTACTTATACATGTAACTTTCACCGACTTCTGGACTTACTTATATTTGTAACTTTCATCGACTTCTGGACTCAGTTATAGTTGTAAGTGTCACCGGCTTCTAGACTTAGTTATACTTGTAACTGTTACTGACTTCTGGACTTAGTTATACTTGTAACTGTCATCGACTTCTGGACACAGTTATAGTTGTAAGTGTCACCGGCTTCTAGACTTAGTTATACTTGTAACTGTTACTGACTTCTGGACTTAGTTATATTTGTAACTGTTACCGACTTCTGGACTAACTTATACTTGTAACTGTCACCGAACCCGGCATGGCCAGGTGGTTAAGGCATTCGACTCGCAATCTGAGGGTCGCGGGTTCGAATTCCCGTCCCACCAAACATGCTCGCCCTTTCAGCCGTGGGGGTGTTATAATGTGACGGTCAATCCCACTATTCGTTGGTAAAAGAGTAGCCCAAGAGTTGGTGGTGGGTGGTGATGAATAGCTGCCTTCCCTCTAGTCTTACACTGCTAAATTAGGGACGGCTAGCGCTGATAGCCCTCGTGTAGCTTTGCGCGAAATTCAAAAACAAACAAACAAACTGTCACCGACTTCTGGACTTCATTATACTTATAAGTACTCTCGACGTCTGCATGGAAAAGGCCTGAGAACGCTATTGGAATGATTTTAAGGTATAAAAAAATACATAACTGGTTTGTTTTCCTTGCTTTTAAATAACACCAACAAATCTTATAATAGGAGCATCTTGTTTCAATCAAATTCATCCATATGTAATATCTAGATCTGAATAACTGTTAACGCAGAACACGTACTTAAAGTCCGCCTATATTTTGCTTTTACCGAGGATTTCTGAGAAGAAAAAACTTCCGTACTGAAATATAATATTAAATATGTATGTATGTTTGTATGTTTGTTTTTGTTTTTTTTAGTTTCGCGCACAGCTACACGAGGGCTATCTGCGCTAGCCGTCCCTAATTTAGCAGTGTAAGACTATAGGGAAGGCAGCCTGTCATCACCACTCACCGCCAACTCTTGGGCTACTCTTTTTACCAACGAATAGTGGGATTGATCGTCACATTATAACGCCCCCACGGCTGAAAGGGCGAGCATGTTTGGTTGGACGGGGATTCGAACCCGCGACCCACAGATTGCGAGTCGAGCACCCTAATCACCTGGCCATGCCGGGCCATTAACTGTGTAACTGAACGTAAACGTAGGAGTTACAAATTGGCCCCACGACTTACAAACACTGAATAAAAGAAGAATTTCCGAAGGAATACAGTAACTAATAGGAAAAGTCTGTGCTAGAGAGCAATTTGTTTATGTGTTTGTTTGGTTTCGAATTTCACGCCAAGCTACACAAGGGCTACCTGCGCATAGCCCACCTCTAATTTTGAACTGATATACTTGAGAAAAAAAACAGCTAGTCAATAACACAAACCGTCAGCTCTTGGGATATCCTTTTCTGATCGAATAGTGGGATTTGACAGTTACTCTTATACCGCTCCCACGGTCCTACAGTGCGAAGCGCATGTTTGCCGAACGAGAAACAAACGGATTACAATCTGCACACTTTAAAAGCTGTTGAACGACAAAATATATGGGAACTTGAACGAAAGAGCACATTTGTAGCTGTCAGATAGATTGCGTCGCGAAAACAGTTGGTCGGACTAACCGATTCACTACCGGTTGGACTGACTGTCCAAGTCAGCCCTGCAGATATACGGGGTTAAAATGATGAAGAATCTGGAAGATAACTAAAAATATGTGCAACGCATATAAAAGGAGTTTGGAATGTTGGCTATAGAGGAGAGAAACGGTAAAGTGAAAGATGAAAAGTCGACATTTAGACAGAGAAGGATGAGCGAAATAGATAAAGGTAGTTGATACGTAGGCTACATCCAGAGGAAGATAACTTTGGTGATTGTTGAAGACAACTCGAGACGACTGTGAAACCAACACGAAATCATTGTGGTAATGTGTTTATTGTAATGTGCTAAATGTACAGAGTGATCCAACGAGAGGTGCCCCCTTTGATTTCTTATAGGAATAATATAATAGCTATTACTAATTAACATTGCCAGAAGCCAAGTGTTCTAATTGACATTGTTGCAAGCCAAGTGTTCTGATATTGTTGCAAGCCATGTATTCTAATTGACATTGCTTCAAGCCAAGTGTTCTACTGATATTGTTGCCAAGCCAAGTGTTCTACTAATATTGTTGCCAAGCCAAGTGTTTTAACGGATATTGTTACAAGCCATGTATTCTAATTGACATTGCTTCAAGCCAAGTGTTCTACTGATATTGTTGCCAAGCCAAGTGTTCTAACGGATATTGTTACAAGCCTAATGTTCGAATTGACATTGTTAAAAGTCAAGTGTTCCAACTGGCATTGTTCCAAGCCAAGAGCTCTAACTGATATTATTGCAAGCAACATGCTCTAACAAGTACTCTATTTTAGTGATGAACGTTTCGGTCGTTAGTGTATTATATTGTTTCAATAAGAAATCAAGGGGCATCTCTCGTTGGATCACCCTGTATAGTGAACACTGTTTATCCTGCATGTGTGTACAATCTTGTTAATTCAGAAAAACTAATATATATATGTTTTATGAATAAAGCAAGAGGTGTCAGAATTATCCGCTCCAAGGCAGTAGCAATTGTACAGTCCCTTATTTAACTGGATAATCTATTACATGTGTACACCCCCCTCCTCCAAAAGACGGCCTTCAACTGTGCTTTTTGTAGATCTTAACCCTAACCAACGTTTACTAAAAGCAGTGGTTCGTCATTTCGTTTGTATACAAAAAGTTAAAGTCGAGTACTGTTTCAGTACGATGGTATAGTATAGACGCAATATGATGGTAGTGATGAAATAACATCCGTTATAGCCCAAATGCAGTGTGATGGTAATGGTGGAGTGATATCCTTTGAATCCAAGATGCAGTGTGATAATAGTAGCGGAATGCTACCCCTAGCGGTGAATACACAATGTGATGGTAGTCGCAGAATGATATCTTTTGAGGCCAAGACGCAGCGTGATGGTAGTGGTAGAATGATACTCTTTATGGTCAAGACACAGCATGATGGTAGTA